ACAAATCAATTGTCATACTGGCATTCAAATAGAGATATCTGAGGAAGGTGACATTTAGGGATGGGCTTAACCAAATAATGTAATTTTGTAACAATATTCTAATACAGTTGACTTGTACAAATAGATAAATATTGTATATATAGCCTAACGTGTGTTCTCAACGGTCTGAATTTGAGATCATTTCATCAAAATATACATAGCATAACAAGCCACCATAGTACACCTAAAGAAAAAGAATGGTCTTGGTGAGATTTAACCAAATTCTAGCACATTAATATCATAGGAATTAGAGCCAAATTGATAAATTATCGACAAACAAACATGTTTTGAGGGTGATATTGTTTAAACACAAAGGTAGAGAGAAACTCGAGTAAAAAGTTTTATTAGGTGTCTTTATTCTGAAAACACCCTTGCTCTTATGCAGGTTGAAAATTCCAAAAAAGTATTTACCGATTATACCCTTGGATTAGACAAGAAAGTCGTCTAGTCCTTGAAAAATTTATAGTTACACAAAAGGTTGATCCTTCAAATGATAACAGAATTACCCCCTTGTTTTCCTAGCACATCAGAGCCCGAAGGCGGTATACACCACCCTAGCCAACAATTGTACCATGATGTAATGGAGGCTAGCTTCGGCGGTGGTGGTGGAGTTGGAGGGTCAGAGACTCAACTTAGATCTCTTCTCTGCAGCCTATCAATTCTGAAGCAGAAACTTCACGAGGTCGAATCATTGGTAAGCCTCTTCCTGCCCGAAGATAGCCACCATCATCATCATCAAAGCCAACCAGTAGCAACGTTGTCAACCTCACCGGTGCCTTATGCAAACATTGGCACTCTGATACAAGAAGTCGTCGTGACAGCATCATCTATGATGTTCAACTGTCAACAGATGACCCTTGGTTCGACGCAGACAGCAGGTAATAACAGCAACAGCAACAGCATTAGTCGCGATCATATGCAGACTGCAGAGGGTCAGCACCAGATTAAGCAGCAGAGGCCTGATGATGGACTGCAGCAATTTGTCAGCTGTGATGTTAGTAAGAATAACAATATGTTCGTAGATGGAGAAAACATCTACAATTGGTACAATGATACTAGTACTGCAGCCTGCAACAATTACATCAGTACGCGAACTGACAGTTCAAGAACAACGACGACTGCCAGCATAACCACAATAATCACAGCAGTGAAAGGGGAGAAATCGAAGGATGTTAAGGCTCAGACAAGCAGTAAACTGGTCCGGGATAGGAAGTCGTTGACCGAGGCATACGATCTTGTAGAGCCAGAGGCAGCAGATCTGTTAGCAAAGTATACTCATTACTGTCAAGTATGTGGTAAAGGGTTTAAGCGTGATGCCAACCTTAGGATGCATATGCGAGCACATGGAGACGAGTATAAGTCCACTGCAGCCCTCAGCAATCCTTTAAAAAAAGAAGCAGAGGATCAAAACAGCGCGATCATAACACCAAGGAAGTACTCGTGCCCACAGATGGGGTGCAGGTGGAACAAAAACCATGCTAAATTCCAACCTCTTAAGTCCATTATATGTGTTAAAAAACCATTACAAGAGAAGTCATTGTCCTAAGATGTATGTGTGTAAAAAATGTAACAGAAAACAGTTTTCGGTGCTTTCGGATTTGAGGACTCATGAGAAGCATTGTGGTGATAGGAAGTGGCAGTGCTCCTGTGGAACCACCTTCTCTAGGAAGGATAAGCTCATGGGCCACGTCGCGCTATTCGTTGGTCATCACCCTCTAGTGATTCCACTTGTTGATAATAAGCTTGATAACCTTGGAGAATTACAGATTCATTTTGAAGACAGATGATAGAAATATAGATTGTATTGATCATCTTATTAGATCAGATTTCTTTCTACAACTATTTTTGTTTTTTGAATGGGAGATTGTACAATTTTTTACTCCTATAACAGATCTAGAACTTTTAGAAACTATTTGATCAATTGAATTTTGTGAAACGGGCCTTGAGTATGGTAAAATGTAAAATTAATCCTTGAATATATGATAGAAAGTGAAAGTTGACCTTATTCTTGTATCATAATCTAGTACTAAAAGGCTATAATGAAGTTTATGTCACGCCCAATTCTTGTATTCTCTTAAAGGCTACAAGTAATTAAAGAAGCTATATACTCTTTAAGATTGAAGAGACAGTGGCAGATCTTGGCCGAAAGTATTAGAGGGATCGAAATTTGAATTTTACTTCTCTCTCAAAACTAATCACTATGTCCCAATATTTTATAACTAACATAGGTAATTTAAGTTCATAAACTAATTAATTGCAATAATTTACAGAGGGTTGGCCCGATGGAAGGTCCGCTCTGAGAAGAGACATCGCCTTGCGTAATTATTGAAAATAGAGCGGAAAGAAAAGAAATAAGAGGAAGGAAATGAATCATTTAACTCTTACTTTTTCATTTGTTTGGTTTAACCATGGAATCAAATCACTTAAAACTAACTCCCATTATTTTTGTTTTAGGTGGATAAGGGTAATTGTTACCTTAGATTTTAAGGGGTTACAAATATGTGGAAACCTGTATGCCTAGGTAATGGTAATTGCTATCCAAACCCTCTAACCAAACACTTGGTACGATAATAGTTAAATTTCCAACCGATACCAAACACGCTCTTAGATGTTTTGCTTGATCTCAATTCTCAACTGCAAGAGTCAATCATGATCGTACTAGTAGCCTGAAGTTGCATCTCTCCCATTTTTCCTTGCCCACCAATTCAAATTACTTGTCTTCCAAAAAGTCTTTTTAATATGTACCAAATTGTATGAAAAGTAGTTATGCCAATGAGTCCAACCCATATGTTAACATACACATCCAAACAAGCCCATATGAAGGCCCAATCCAAATCAATAAGCTTGTTGAGTTATAATGAAGGCAGTCTTCTCTTTTTCTTCCAGGCAAAGATTTTTAAGAAATTCTAAAGCCATAATAACTTTTTTTTTTTTTTTTAGAAAAACCGATTAGCATCTTTTATAAATCAAAGGACAATTTGTCCATAAGAATATAAGAAAATATATGAGAAGGATAATGATTTTCCCACACTTGTTCGGTTGTTCCACATTGAAAGGCTAAAGCCATAATAACTTTAGTTTTAGGTTATATATAACTAATAATAAACTTCATTGGTAATAAATTGTGTATAAATGGTACAATATACTTTTATACCAACGAATAAATATATTGTTGTTCCTAATAAAAGAGATGAATTTCAATCCTAACATTTTCACATTATGAAACTCCATCAAATACTATACATACGAAGTATAGCATTAAGCAAATAAAATTTGTACGTCCTCTCTTCAAATAATATGTATTATTAAGTTTCTACATAATTATACAACCTCAATTGATAATTCTTCTCGAAAAACCCTTCAATTAATTGGTTGTTATATTTATTCAATAGGCCTGTGGTTTATGTTCATACTTAAAGATTTAGTTTTTTTTTTTTTACTCATTTTCAATTTTTTTTGTTTTGGCTTTTTTCTATCCATTTAATGACTATCCAAACATGTCTTCAGAATGAACAATACAAAGCTCGATAATAACTACGAAGAATGGTCCTATCACTCCTATGTCATATTGTCATCCTATATGGTTCATTGTTTCGAATTGTATTGTGATGAATAGTACATTTTAGAGAATAATAAGAAAAAAGGGGTGTAGATAGAATACTAAGTTATATTTTTTTCATATATATGCTACTATATAATTTGCTAATATAAATTAATTTGGAGGACCCTTTTATTTGCATCAGTTTACACCTAATTCATCCTTATCTATAATAAATAAAGTCTAGACAGACACAAAAACATAACTGAAAATTCACGTACAACTGCTATTTTTATACAATTAAAAATGTGTCGCAATCACTAATTATATATACCATCGGTCATTATCAACAAATGCTTATAATTTAGTGATAAACGCGTGCATCACGGTGGGGTCAAACTAGAGATGGCAATGGATCGGATTTGGATCGGGTGGAGCTTCACCCGCATCCATCCATTATCCTAATTGCTCCATCCACATCCATCCGTCATCCGCTTCACCCATCATCCATATCCGTCCGTCCATCATCCGCAGATGAAACGGGTGGAGCGGATGACAAATAGATGAGTACTAAAATGTAAAAAAAACTCAGATAAACTTTAATTTTCGGTTATTTATATAATAATTTTTTTAATTTATTAATAAAAAAGAAACAATAACAACATATTGTTTGAAAAATTAATTTGCAACAAAAAAAAGACAAGTAATTTTCTTGCACATTCTATATTTTATTAGTAAAATTCTTTGATTAAAAAGTTAATATATGTTAAACGGATGGGTGGATGGTTAGCGGGTGAAAAAATATCATCCACATCCGATCCGATCTATTATCCGCTTCATCCGTCACCAGCTTCTCATCCATTTAATTCGGGTTTTCGTCCATTTATTTTAAGCGGGTGGAGCGAATTAGCGGATATCCACTTAAGATTGTCATTTCTAGGTCAAACCCTTTTCGAAGCACGTTGAAGTAAAGATTCTCTTAAGTCTTTTCCTCTAAATTCAAAGAACTTTGTCAGTAAGTATATTAGATCAGGATGAATCATGCAGGTTTATGATATGACATTACACTGTATATCAAACAAAATCATTATATTTATCAATATAGAAATTTGTTTTATAGATTAAAAGAAAAGGAACTTTATAATCTATTCTATTCTCCATATGTCTAGAGGACCACCAAATTGGAACCAATCAAAAATTTTAAATTAACAGTGATGCGTTAGATATGACGATAATCAAACAGCCTTGCATTTCAAATAAAAATTACCATAAAGTTCTTGAAAGAGGCAAATGCGTGGATAATGACAACCTCATATCAGAAAATAGTTTAACTATCTAATGACAATTATCTATAGTTTTTGTTGGAATAATACAAATTACAACATACTAAATTGTAACATAGTACTATTACAATAGCCTTTTATATAAGAATGATACAATGAATGAACTTAGTAAAAGAATCCCTCGTACTAGTTTAAATTTGTTCAATGACACATCCAAGGGAGGTTGTATTCAACATAAACTAATTAAATTTATTTTCCATGTATAAGATTAGTGAAGTTGTTCGATCATTGACTTCCTATAATCTTTCTTCAATTCCATTGCAACAAAATAAACATTAAGTGGTCCATTTGTGCAATACTTGTGAGATGATTCAAGGGGAAGCTCTTTGTTTTAGCAACGGAGATGGTGCCGGAGGCATGCACCATGGTCATCCTAGCAACTTGTACAATGATGTGGTAGAGACGAGCTTCAATGCTGGTACCGAGGGCATACACCATACACAGTCGGTTAGGTCAATTCTTTTTAGCTTATCAATCTTGAAGGAGAAGATCCACAAAGTTGATTCATTTGTGAGCATTTTTCTTACCCAAGAAAACCAATATCATGCTCATAGTACAATTAATCAATTGACCTCTTCGATGGCATTTTCAAGCATGGCTAATCTAATTCAAGAAATCGTTCAAACCGCCTCATTGATGATGCTCAACTGCGAAAGGATGGCCCTTGGACCAACACATGTACAAACAGGTAACACTAACAACAACATCAATAATAGTACTAGTCATGTACATGTAGATCAAGAGCAACATACAATGCAAAAGGCTAATAATAATGGACTTGTCCAATTTAGTGTAGACGAGGTTATAGTCAATAGCACTAGTCAAGGATTTTTGGATGGAATTAACTTCAACAATCACCAAGCAATCAACAGGAAAACGTACCAAGAGTTAGATGTGTCGACGGAGGCTTATGACTTGGTGGAGGTAGATGCGGCTGATCTACTAGCAAAGTACACCCACTATTGTCAAGTATGTGGTAGGGGGTTCAAACGAGAGGCAAACCTAAGGATGCACATGCGAGCTCATGGGGACAAGTACAAGTCAAGCCTCATGAGCGACCCCCTTAAGAAAAAGAACAATGAAGAAAACAACACGACGAAAAAACCTCCCAGGAAATACTCGTGTCCACAAAAAGGATGTAGGTGGAACAAGAACCATGTCAAGTTTCAACCTCTAAAGTCGATGGTGTGTGTACGAAATCACTACAAGAGAAGCCATTGTCCCAAGATGTTTGTGTGTAATAGGTGTAATACTAAGGAATTCTCGGTCCTTTCGGATTTTAAGACGCATGAGAAGCATTGTGGAGATGTCAAATGGTATTGTTCTTGTGGAACTAGTTTCTCTAAGAAAGATAAGCTCATGAATCATGTTGCTTTGTTTGTTGGTCATACGCCTTTGATTTACCCATTGGTTATGCTTTCGGATAGTAGGTAATGAAATTGTTTTAAACCCTTTGTTTCTTTGTCTTCTATCTTTTTCATGAATGTGAAACCAATTGCTTCTATTCCCCCCTAACAAGTGGACTGTTTTATACTAGCTAATCAAGGTTATCTTTTTATTTTTTTTCTCTCTTGGCAAGGGGTTTTTTCTATTAAACAATTTTAGTTTTAGTTTGGTTCCATTAGAATTTGATACAGGTTTTTGGTATATATGTTACAAATCTTAACAACGATGTAGCCCATTAAGCGTAGAGTTAGCTAGTATCATCTCATGTAAAGATGGCACCAATCAAGCAAGGTCGTCCCATGCCATTGCACGTTCTAGCATGAAAAATGTGTGCCATACCACAAACACGAGATATGCATGGCATGACATTAATTGTATTGTGTGTATATGGTTGTATGCCAAGACAAGTCTAAACTACAAATATTTTAGAAAAGCAAGAAACAACCTGATCCAGCCCGACATGACTAAAAATGGTAAAATAAATTACATTTGTCATACATATCCAAGCACGACACATTACGTTGACAGCTGGCGTGCCCGAGTTGCAATTTTGAAAATTAGACACAACACGTGGAGAGTATGATCGATTTTGGCCAAGCCTAGCCAAGCCCATGGACACATCCTAGCATGGGCCAAAACCATCTTTACTCTCGTTATCATGATATCTTCATCTTTACTCTCATTATCAGGGTATATTTTTAAATTCTGGGATTTTTTAAAAAAAAAGAATAAAAAAAATTTTATTTTAACTTTTATGGAGATTGATAGAAAGACAAAGCGAATGAGAATTTCACTCGATCTTACTTTATTTAAATATTTTGTGTAATTTGTTTAACTAACACTCCTACTACCTCAATAATATACACGTATATACTCCCTCCGTTTTTAAATACTTGCTCCATTTCTCAATACGCGGACTTTTAAGAGAAATTGGCGAAAGTAATAAAATATGAAGGTGGTGGGGTAGTTGAGAAAATGACATCCACATAGACTGTACTACACTGCAAATCTTTTTTTATTTATTTAATTTTTTTATTTATCATCATACTATTTCAAAAACAAATTAGACACAAAGTAATTTCAAAAATTTATCACCCTCCTCTTATATATACACCCTTTCATCTTCTTTAATTTCATCATTCCTTGTTTTATCTCTCTCATCCCTCTACATTTATACAATATTTCAAGCTTGCTTTTACTCGGTCAAGGTTTTTTCTCTTGCAATCTTTCAAGTTCTACTCTGTGAAGGTTTTTCTCTCATCAACTCATCCCTCCGCAATTTTATTTTTTGTTTTTATTTTTGTGCTCTGCTTTTACTTTGTGAAGGTTTCTCTCCCATCTCTCTGCAATTTTTTGTTTTTTGTGCTCTACTTTTACTTTGTGAAGGTTTCTCTTTCATCCCTCTGTAATTTGTTTTCAAGCTCTATTTTTTTGTTTTTGTGCTCTGTTTTTACTTTGTGAAGGTTTCGGTCTCATCCCTTTGCAATTTGTTTTTCAAGCTGTGGGTTCAAGCTCTATTTTTAATTGCTCTGTGAATGTTTTCTACTCCTCTCAATATTAGTAAACTTTATAATATGCATTGTTAATTTTTTTTTTCAAGTTGTATGTGCTCTGTTTTTAATTTGTGAAGGTTTCTCTCTCATCCCTCTGCAATTTTTTTTCAAGCTCTTTTTATTGTTTTTTTTTTCTTTTGTGGGTGTAAGTTCTGTTTTTATTTGCTCTGTGAATGTTTGCTACTCCTCTCAATATTATTAAACTTAATAATATGCAATATTATATTTATTTTCAAGCTCTTTTTACTTTTATTTTGTTTTTGTGCTCTGCTTTTACTTTATGAGGTTTCTCCCTCATCCCTCTGCAAAAAAAAAAAAAAAAAAAAAAAAAAATTCAAGCTCTTTTTATTGTTTTTTTTTCTTTTGTGGATTCAAGCTCTGTTTTTAATTGCTCTGTGAGTGCTTGCTACTCCTCTATATATTAGTATTAAACTTAATAATTTGCATGTTAATTTTTTTTGTTTTTTTTCTTTTGTAATGTAGAGATGTCCGAAGATACCTATTCGGTTCCTTTATATGATGTCAATCGTAGTTTGATCGATCGCAAACCCCGGTTTGTTTATGATCACGAACTTATTCATACAACATTGATGGATACTCTCAACTGTACGTGGGTAATTAAAGAAGAACACCGTTGGATTAATTTACATGTGCCTTTGAGTGATTAAAATTTAGAGGATGTTGGTAATTTCCTACCTTATATTTAAAATAATAAGAGTACTCAGTAATTACTTTCACAAGTCATCAAGTAATTCTAATTTTTTTTTGTTTGTATATATTTTGTTGGGCAGATTGTTGATTTCTTGAAATTGCTGACGTAGTGCGAGCTAAAACTCAAATGGCCGAAAGTTCAAGTCCTAAAAACTACATAAATGGAGTGGTGGGATATTCTCTATCAGCCAAGCATCTAGCTGAAATATGTAGTGATGATGATACGGGTAAGGATTTATTTGGATTATTAGGACGTACTGTTGGGCTATGGGTCCCTTCCTATGTGGAGAAATTCCATTTTATGTTGTGATTGTTTCGGGACAACTAGTAAAATTTTGATCTTTCAAGTTTGTAGCTTCTCAAGGAAGCTTAATTCTTTGACTTTTTGGTGTGCCTACCGTGAAAAAATGAGTGGCAACAAAAGGGTTTTGGATACTACTTACTTTCTGCCCGCAAGAGTAGTAAAGGTGAGTTGGAAGTAGTCGAGAAGAAGTGAGAAAGATACAGAGAGTTTCAAAGTAAGCTAGTTCACGTTCTTCATTGCGCAGCTCCAGAAATCAGCCCCGATCGAAGCTCATCCGTGGTCCGATTTAGCTCAAATTTTGACAGCTTGTCCGGGACATCTAGGGCTTCGTTTTCAACGGTTGGATTGTCATTTTCTGCTAATGTTCGTGATTTACGGGCTCTGGACAGAACTCTGTTTTTCTGGTGATGATATTCTTCCATTTTTCTTCCATTACTTTGTTCTTATGACTGTTGTTGTTTGGATAAATTGAGTACCCAACTTTTATACTTGGAATTGTGTTTGTGTAAAATTTCTTTCGTCAATATGAACAATTTGGGTGGACTCCTAAAGTCCCGTGGTTTTTACTCTTCACATCGAAGAGGTTTTCCACGTAAAAATCGTGTGTCTCTTGCTTGGTTGTTTATGCTCGTTCTTTGTCTTAAGTTGCTGCATTATATGTATTGATATTGCTGGTGGTTTTTTGAACTTGGAGAATATTTCATTTACAATGGGTGGTGATGCCTTTTGGCCTCACCAACGCCCCGACTACTTTTTGCATTTAACGAACAAGATTTTTCAGTCATATTTTGACAAGTTTGTCGTCGTCTATCTCGACGATATCTTCATGTATAGCGACGACCTAACAAGCCATTTGGAGCATTTGAGACAGGTGTTTCAGGTGTTGCGAAAGAACGAGCTATATGTCAAAAAGGAGAAGTGCTCGTTCGCTTGAGAGGAGGTGTCCTTCTTGGGGCACCGCATCCGGCATGGAAAGATTATGATGGAGCATGTCAAGGTGCGCTCCATCATCGAATGAGAGGAGCCCAAGAATGTGTCGGAGCTACGCTCATTCCTTGGGTTAGCAAATTATTCTCGGCGGTTCATCAAGAGTTATTCAGCTCGGGCAGCACCGTTGACAGACTTGTTGAAGAAGAAAGTGCAATGGTGTTGGAGTGAAATGTGTCAGAAGGTGGTATGTCTATTTTATATAGTATTTTACCCCCGTCCCTTGGTCATAATTAGTAGTGTTTTTGGCTCTTTAGTGCCACTTTTATTACTAATTGGTGTTTTCTAGTGTTTTCGTAGAATTGATTGACTTTTGCAGGGATTTGCACTTTTGGAGCATTTTTTCAATATATTATGGAGCAATTACGAGCACTGGAGAAGCACGACCAGTTTCTATAACCCTGGGCCGGTTAGAGCTATCGAACCGGTGATTAAGGGCTCGGTATATGTGAAACCGGGGCATTTGGACCAAGTATTCAAGACCCGAAGAGGAAATCCAGATTGGCCCGAAGAATTGGAGCCCAATCGTAGTCCAAATAGTGGCCCAAGAGAGCCGCCCGGCCAAAGAGGCTGGCGCCCGGAGACGCGCCCGGCCGGGCGAGGGAAGCAAGGCTGGTGCCCGAACTCGCGTTCGGCCGGGCGCGAGATTCATACTTGGAGGAAAAAGGCGCGCCTGATCGGGCGGTGCCTCGCCCGATCGGGCGCATGTTATTGTTAGAAGACGATTAGTGTCGTTTAAGTTTGTTTTAGTTTAGAATTCTGAAGGAGTATAAATACTTCTCCGTAAAACGAGTTTAGTACCTTTTTTTTTACCTTCTTTTACTCTCTCTTAATTATTTCCTTAGATTTTCTCTCTCTACTTAGCTTCTAAATTAGTTTCTCTCTCATATACTTTGTTCTCAACTTTATTCTTAATTCCAGATTTATTTGGTAACAATTTCTCTTCTCTTAATCTTAGTTATTTATTTTATTCCATTGAGCATGTCTTGTTTTATTGTTTTGATTAGTTTAGATTTAATTATGTGTGAGTAGTTTTATTTCTAGGGTTTGTGGGGATCCAAAAATAATATGAAGGGGTAATTTATTGTTGTTAATTGTCAATGCTAGATTAATTTCCTATTGATTGATTTAATGCTCTGTGACTAGATTTGCGCAGATCTTTTATGCATGAGTTTAACAATATTGATTCGAGATTCGACAAATGAGAATTGATGTTTAGGTCTAGTTTCAATAGGCAGGTTAATTTATAAATGGTTAAGTCGAGATTCGAGAGATGAGATTTAATACCGGTAAATTATTGTGTTATTGTAATACGTAGCGAAAGCCCTTTATGATCTGGTTAATGTATGCATTGATGATTGATTATTATGTTTTACCATGGAATATTATTTATTGGTGAACTTATGTCCTAGGCCTTTTATTCATTGTTTCTCCTCCTACTTTTATTCCTTCCCACTTTTACTCTTAGTAGTTTAGTTTCCTTCGATTATTATATTTTGGTTACTTTATAATCTAGATTATATTAATTAATTAGGAATAGACAGACTCTTTCTCTGTGGATTCGACCCTACTTCCCTATCTACATTAGTTAGAGGATTTAGGAATTACTTTTGATTAGGGGATACGACTTTACCCTGTCAGAAAGCCTTTGATGATTTGAAGGAAGCAGTCACCAATGAGCCTGTATTAGCACTGCCCGACTACAAAAAGTCGTTCGAGCTTCATACGGATGCGTCCGACTTTGCCATTGGAGGTGTGCTAGTGCAAGAGGGGCATCCCATTGCCTACGAATCTCGCAAGCTCAACGATACCATGAAGAGGTATCCTGTGCATGAAAAGGAGATGACAGCTATCATACATTGCTTGCGTATTTGGAGGCACTATTTTCTTGGGAGTCAGTTCATCATTTATACCGACAATGTTGCAACCAGCTACTTTCAAAACCAGAAGAAAATTAGTCCCAAGAAAGCTCGTTGGCAAGACTTCTTGGATGACTATGACTATGTCATGGAGTACAAACCAGGCAAAGTCAATTTCGTCGCCGATGCTCTCAACCGAAAGGCCATGCTCGCTGCTATCAGCAGCATCACAAGCTTTATTATTGATCGGATCAAGGATGGCCTCCCTCATGACCCTATGGCCAGAGGATTGATGGAGTTGGCCAAGGAGGGGAAGACTCGGAAATTTTGGGTAGAGGACGAGGTCCTCTACACCACCGAACATCGAATTTTTGTGCCTAAGTGGGACAACCTTAGGCGCGACATTCTCAAAGAGTGTCATGATTCAATGTGGGCTAGACACCTAGGTATTCAACGTACTTTGGCACTCTTGGAAGATACTTACTATTGGCCTCACATGCGGGATGATGTGGAAGCCTACGTGAAGACTTGTCTTGTATGCCAACAAGACAAGATTGAGCGAC